GCCCTGCATCGGGCTCCCTCCTCCGCGGGAAGCCTGTTTCTCCCTCTCCCACTCCCCCTGCTTGTGTTCCCTCTCTCGCTGTGTCTCTCTGTCAAATAAATAAAATCTTTAAAAAAAAAAAAAAAGAAAGAAAAGTAAGTCTGTTTAAGAATTATTGAGGAAACTCCCAGAATGTCTGGAAAGGCTGCAGAGGCAGGCCTGGAGAACAGGCTGGATCAGGGGGAGCTGGGAGCCCACCACACGCCTCAGGACCAGCCCCGAGAGGATTCTGCCACCTCCTCTGAACTGTTTGAAATGTTTACTTTCTCTCCTCTGCTGCCCTGGAAGCTGATGTGGCATCATGTGCAGAGTGGAGTCTCCACGGACCTGCCACTTCAGGGCCACTGACTTCTGATCCTGTCTGGATGGGGGTATCCAACTGGCCCAGTCGATGCCATATGTCTGCATCATGTGCTGAGAGAGGGAGGTCGGAATTAAGTGTGTGGCCATTGTGCCTTTTATTTTTATTATTTTTTTAAAGATTTTATTTTTTTTTGGCTTTTATAGTGGGAGGTGCCTTCTGCCTCCCTCTAGACTCATGTGGGGGGAAGCTCCACAAACTGGGCATCCAGAAAACCCAACAGATGTCTGCACAGGAAACAAAAATGAGTAGACAGGGGTCCCTGTCCTTGAGACACTCCCAGACATGCAGGAGTCAGTTAATGTGGGTAGATCATTATGATAGGAAGTGAAGGCGGCCACAGTGGAGGTGATCAGCAGCCAGCGGTGGGGCTGGCAGAGAAACACCGATAACATGGCCCTGGCCCATGTCGGAGAGTCCAAGATGTCCCTGTGTGCTCCAGGCCACCTAGATGGAATAGCTGGGTGGAGTCTGATGACTAGTTGGGGCTGTCACACTGGGCCAGACACTGTGTGACACAGACACACACCGACTGGGCAGAATTCGAGTCTCCAGAAATGATGCACCTTTTCTTGCTCACAGAAGTAACGAAATTGCTTGGCCTAAAAAGCTGCTTCCTGGGGCGCCTGGGTGGCTCAGTCGTTAAGCGTCTGCCTTCGGCTCAGGTCATGATCCCGGAGTCCTGGGATCGAGCCCCGCATCAGGCTCCCCGCTCGGCGGGAGGCCTGCCTCTCCCCCCTCCACTCCCCCTGCCTGTGCTCCTCTCTCACTGTGTCTCTCTCTGTCAAATAAATAAATAAAATCTTAAAAAAAAAAAATTAAAAAAAAAATAATAAATAAAAATAAGAGTACTTTGGGCGCCTGGGTGGCTCAGTCATTGAGCGTCTGCCTTCGGCTCAGGTCATGATCCCAGGGTCCTGGGATCGAGCCCCGCATCGGGCTCCCTGCTCGGCGGGAAGCCTGCTTCTCCCTCTCCCACTCCCCCTGCTTGTGTTCCCTCTCTCGCTGTGTCTCTCTCTGTCAAATAAATAAATAAATTCTTAAAAAAAAAAAAAAAGCTGCTTCCTGGCTAATGGAGCTTCTCTTTTGATATCTCGTCATGCCCTACAAGCATTTTGCAATGTCCTTGAAGTACCCCTTGTCCCTGCTGGGGTCTCAACGCTGTATCTGGATTAGAGAAAGGGATTCTCAGGATAGGCAGACCAGAGTTGGGACGAGAAAGAGGAAGGTGTATTTGCTGCCTCGTGGGCTTCTGCTCTGTGAGACCAGATTCTTACTCTCTTCTCTGCTTCACCCCATGTCCTTCTGTGTTGCCTGCTCTGTGTCTGTGCCCGTTCCTGTCCCCGCGTCACCATCACTGTCTTTGCTGTCATCATCCCTGCCTGTCTCTATCTCGGCTGCGCCCCCATCTCCAGAGGGACCCCAGCTCCAGCCTTTCAGCCCTGCTCTGTCCCTCTTGGACTCAGCCATCTGGGTTCTCTGAGAACCAGACACAGCAACCCCCATCCCACCCCACCTCCACACACTGACATTCCAGTAGCCCTGGTTCATGGTGGTCCAAAATCAGCACATTGTCCTGTGGAGTTGTCACAGGTGGGTTAGGGCTGGTGGGCGGCTCCCTGTCATCAGGCCTTGCAGGGCTCCCTGCCTGCCTGTCTATCCCCTTCTTCCTATTTGAAGTGGCAACTTCAAATGTAACACCTTCCTGTCATCTCTCACACTCACTGGGGCCCCAGCCACAGCGGCTGCCTGCCTGCCCACCTCTTTGCATCCTCCAGAGGTAAGCTGTGCAGAGCCCGGTGAAGAGCCTCATGCAGGCAGGTGAAGGGCCTCTGCTGGGCAGGGCTGGGAGGAGTCAGGGAAGAGAAAAAGGAGACCGGGTGTTGCAAGGCCAAGATGCTTGAGTGAATGTGCTAGGGCCCCAGGGGCGCTTGAGAAGGAGAGACGCATGGCTCCTGAGGAGAACAGGAACCTTGGGGCACTTGGTTGAGCTGAGGTGGTCCCTGTGTTGTGCGGCTTTCAGTGAAAGAAGGCGGAGAAGCGAGATGCTAACTGAGCAGACAGCAGAGGAATCAGGGCATCTTCCCGTCAGGCAAATCAGGGGACCCGGAGGGTTCTTGGCCTAGTCTCTCAGACTGTCCCTGGTGAGAGAGCTGAGCCTGGGCAGTCTGGGAGGCAGAACCCTAGGGCTTCCTCAGCTGCCCAGAAAAGCTGTGTGGATGATCGAGGGTGCAGGGGCACCCCTTGTGGGTGGGCTGTGGTTGGCAGAGTCAAGGAGGCAGAAGTCCCTCCCAGCATGGAAGGGAGCAGCTTCTCAATTCCTGGTGTCCTCCAGGAAATCTGGAATGTTCCTTCAGGTCTCTGAGTTCACTTAGAAGTAACCTCCATGAGAACCTTCCTCTCTCTCCTCTTCCCTAGGGATGACTCCATTCAATCCTCTTCTGCCACCTACCCAGAGAGCATCACTGGCCTCTAAATGTCAGTACTGAGTCCTTACACATCAGCCTGTCCAGCCCTCATGTTTTGCAGATAGGGTAACTGAGGCCAGGAGGGGCAGTGACTGGCTCAAGGTCACATGATGGTTTAGTGGAAGGGCCAGCTCTAGAAGCCAGGCTCCTATTTGGAGGTCCTTCACTGCTCACCGGTGACTGACCTGTCTTCCCAGGTAGTAGGGGCATGAAGGGGGAATCTGCTCCAGACTTGAATTGTTGCCACAAGGCTAAGGCTCTGAGGAGTACAGGGGGCTTCCTGTCCTGCAGCCTGGACTTCCAGCTCTGCCAAGGTGACCAGGTAAGGAGGGATCCCAGCCCCATCTTTGAGGTCAGCCCGATTATGGAAGGGAGAAGATGTCAGGATGAAGTGGGGGAAAATATTTAGGGACCAGATTCCCATTGTCCCTTGGTCCTGAGCATCCCTATCCCACCCAGCACTTTGTGGGGATGTGCCCTTGAGGTGCCAGAGACCCTCTCTCATGCCCCAGGGGTCAGAGTCCTCCTGTGGGGCATCAGAAGGGATAGGGCCTGTAGGACGCCTTGGCTCCATGACCATGGCCTGGGCCTTAGCGGGAGGGGAACCCAGGGCTATCTTGGGGGGCTTATAGTCTTTGATGAGGATTTTCTCCGAGTTCATCTTGGCTCCATTCAAAACACAGTTGATGGTCTGAGACCCAGTGGGACCAGGGCAGTCAGGAAGGGAGGGTGGGTGAGGGGTTCTGGAGGGTAGGAGGAGGGCAATCCTGGGATGGGCATGAAAGTTCCTGAGGAAAGAAATTTGTGGCTGAGGGATGGGGAAGCCATTTGAGTGGCAGACGTGGAGGGCAGCTCTTAGCTTCTCCTCTCCTTTTGGAAATCAAACTGGAGCTAGGACCAACCCAGGGACACAGGTGCCCCAGCCTCCCACCCCCAAGCCCCTTGCCTCCTGCCCTCCAGGTCTTCTCAGCTTGGACGCCACCCTCCGACACAGTGGACGCCCGTGGCTCATCCCGTCCCAGCTGGCTGCACCCCTTGCCCCTGGCACCAGCCAGGTCTGCCTCGCTGGCCTGTCCCCAGGGCCTCGGCCTATATCTGCGCACCCTGCAGCCGACACCCCTGAGCACAGCCCCGCAGAGTCTCAGATGCGATGTCTTGAGCACAAGTAAGCCCAGGGCAGAGGGCTGCACCTGGACGGAGGCCAGAGGCGGGAGAGGACTCTTAGGTTCCAGGACAGGAAAGGGAAGGGACCAGTGCCACCGGTGAGAACAGAGCCTCACATTTTGGCCTGGAGTCCGGGCCTTGGTCCGGGGTGGGTGGGTGGGTGGGGTTTCAGGGTGAGCCCTGAGCCACAGGAGGTGGACAGGGGCTTTCTCGGGCAGGGAGATCTGGAGTAGGTGTAGCCAAAGTCCCGGGCATTGAAGATGGTGCTTTGGCTGCCTAGAATGTGTGAGTTGGAGGGGTCCTTATAAGATAGGGGTGCTGACTGGGAGCCAGCGAGCGGAGGGCGGAGTCCTGGTTCTGCTCTTTCTGGCTCTGCGACTTCGGCCACATCACTGAGGCCCGTTTCTTCTTCCAGGTGAGTAGGATCTGTTCTAGATTTGTTGCTTTGTAATGCACCGTTTCCTTACACACTTGTGGCCTCCTGGAGGGCGGGAACTATGTGGCCATGTCAGCACGGAGCGCAGAGTGAAGCGGTTCAGTGAGGTTGGCGGAGTGAATAAATGAGGATTCAAGCAGACAGTCTACTTTGTGGCATTTTTTTCTTTTTAGTATCTCAGTTTACGTCCCTCCTGGCTTATCTCCCCCCTCCCTGGCTGTTGCATCTCCACCTCCCTTGCTAGCTCTTCTCTACTTACCTCCTAAATATCCCCACGCTCTGAACTCAGTCCAGAGCCTTCTTCCCTCCCCTCCCCTGCTTTGGTCTCCTCTCTCCTCTGCTTTCCCTCCTCTCCTCTCTTGTCCACTTCAGGGAGCGTGGGCACGGTCTGATAGAACTTCCTGCAATCAGGGTCAACATCCATGCTTGTGCTCTTTGCTGCCATACCTACCGAGTCTTTTGAATGTGGCTAGTGTGAGTGAGGAGCTGAATTTTTTATTGTACTTATTTTAATTAATTGAAATGGGATCACATGTGTCAAGTGACCACCAATTTTGGACACAGCAGATCTAGCTCACCCTTAGGTGGTCTCATCAGGCAGGGCTCCTGGCACCGAAACGTATGTCTTCAGCTTGGACGTCTCCTTTAAACTCCAAACCAACCAACCAAACAACCAACCAACCAAACTCCAAACCAATTCATCCAGCTGCCTACTTGACTTTTCCACCTGGGTGTCTAAAAAGCTTCTCAAATCATTTTCTCTCTCTAAAACTGTTGAGCGCTGCATAAACTCTAGCTGCTTTTGTCGGCAAGTGCAGACCAGGGAGGCTCAGAGAGGGACAACGCCTGCCCGGGTCATCCAGCAGGCTTGCAGGCTAGAGCACTCCCCCACCCCGAGCTAGCTAGCGGCCCAGTTCGATGGGGAGCAGAACTTTCCCCCAGGCTGCAGGGCCCTGACCAGTATTTCTTTTCCTGCGCAGAGCACCAGTCACCAGGGCTGCAGGCCGGCTCCACTGATGAGAAACTCACGGCCAAGTACCCTGCGAGCAGGGACAAGAGGGGAAGCCATCAGGAAAGAGCCGGCGAGGGGGCCCTCTGCCCATCGTTCTCTCCTCACAGTGGCTCTTCCCCAACCCCCTGCTCCTGCCCGCTGCTCACTCCCATCTCCAAAGAACTCCCATTCTGCCTCCACTCCTTCTATCCTGAGTATCCACTTCTGCCTCCACCTCACCTGTTCACCTATGGGGCCCTACCTTCTGTCCAATATCCCCTCATCTTCATGCTGCCCCCAGACCCTTCCTACCCCAACAAGGCTATGCCCAGCTTGCTGATAAGTGTCAATGAACCTGGGCACCCTACTGCTCAGAGGGAGACACTGTGTCCTTACCCAGGGGCCCCCCAAGCCTCTGGCCAAAGCCAACCTTCCCAGGCCCGGAGTCAAGGTCCTGGAGCTGCCAGGACCCACTCCCCAGGGCCAAAGAGCGCGGGCAGGGCGGCTCCAGCAAGGCGGGCGCCCACGGGCTCCCGGCCAGGCACCAAAGCTCTGCCTTACCCACTGAAGAAAGAGAACGGCAAGGTCCTGTATAAGTGCAACGTGTGCAGCAAGAGCTTCGGACAGCTCTCCAACCTCAAGGTATCTGCCTCCCGGGCTCCGCTGCTCCCCTCAGCATCCTTCCATGACCCCCTCCTACCCTGCTTCCAGAATCAAGGACTTGAAAGCTGGAACAACTCCTGGGCAACCCCTAGGCTGTGATCTGGGATGGTTCACTTGGCCCCTCACTGTCATGTTTGCAGAGAGGAGATGCAGGACAAGATGGCCACCAAAGTCCTCTCCACCCTAAGAGACTGTCTCTGAGGGCATCTCATTTCAGTCAAAAATGGGGAAACTGAAGGAAAGGTTTGCCCGAGGTCACTTTGGTTTCATGGTGAAGTTAGGCCTTGATGGTAGCCTCTCCGTGTCGAGTGCAAAGCCCTTTCCCAAACAACCATCTTTCTAGATCCCCGGTTAAGCCTCCTCTTCCTTATTTGTTTGAAGGTCCAGTGGGGGAGCGGGTAGATTTTAGTGAGTCTCGGTCACAGACCTGACAACGAGCCTTTTTCACGTGGGATCCTACAAAGCAGCATGTTGCTCTTGGTGTCACCATCCACACTGCCCAGCAGGAGCACCCGGGCCCATTGCTCTGTGTCAGCAAAGATGGGGATCTATGCACGTGTTGGCAACACTGAAGTTGAGGAAAAGTTATGGTTGTTGAGGAACGGCCCTTCGGGGTCCTCCAGGGTGTGAGTTCTTAAGCTTTAATGAGATTCAAACCTGGAGAGCTAGGAAACATGCAGATTCCTAGGTCCCTGCCCCAGAGATTTTGATTCAGCTGGTCTGGGGCAGGGCCTGAGAATTTGCATTTTTCACTTGCTCCCAGGTGGTGCTGATGCTGCTGGTCTGTGGACCACACTTTTTTTTAAAGATTGTTTATTTTAGGGGGCACCTGGGTGGCTCAGTTGGTTAAGCGTCTGCCTTCGGCTCAAGTCATGATCCTGGGGTCCTGGGACGAAGCCCGGCATTGGGGGGGTGTCCCTCTTCAGCAGGGAGCCTGCTTCTCCATCTCCTTCTACCTCTTCCCTCTGCTCATGCTTGTTCTCTCTCAAATAAATAAATGTGCGTTTCTTTTAAGATTATTTATTTTAGAGACAGAGTGAGAGAGAGCAGGGGGAAGGGGCAGAGGGAGAGGGAGAGAGAGTCCACGCCAACTCCGAGCTAAGCATGGAGCCCGACATGGGGCTTGATCACAACCCTGAGATCACAACCTGAGCTGAAGCCAAGAGTTGGTCGCTTAACCGACTGAGCCACCCAGGCGCCCCTGTGGACCACACTTTGCGCTGCACTGCTCAGGATATATATACGTGGGCCATCCCTTACCTAGCCTTCTGACCACTGTCACCTCCCCTCCCACGGGGCACCAGAAAGAGTGAGGGTAACTTGGAGGATGGAAGAGAGGCTCTGAGGGCAGGGATAGGGTAGCAAGGGGATTGAGAATCCTTGATGAGAAACAGGGGTCCTGTGGGATTGTGGGGAGAGATTTGGACAGGATCCCAGGCCCTGCTGGAGGGTTCTGGGCAGGTGGCAGCCTTTCTCCCACACCTGGCTCAGGTCCATCTGCGTGTGCACAGTGGGGAGCGCCCATTCCAGTGTGCCCTGTGCCAGAAGAGCTTCACCCAGCTCGCCCACCTGCAGAAGCACCACTTAGTGCATACTGGGGAGCGGCCCCATGAATGCCTGGTGAGAGCCTACTTCCCCTCCCCCGTACTCCTGCAGGCTGGTGAGTAGTTCCAGGCACCTGGACAGATGGCCCCTGTAGCCTCCATTCACCAATGCTCCTGAGCAAGTGCAGACAGGACTGGAGGCAAGGGTGGAGGCGGGGAGGGAGGTGGAGGGAGGTAAAAATGACCTGTCAGCCTGGAAGGGCCAGAATGTGAAACTGGAGGTCCCTCCCTAGGCCTGGGGTGAGGAACAGAGATGTATGTCTACGGGAGGAGAATAATAAAGCTGGGGAGTCCTGGAGAGTGGATACCCGTAACCTGCTTCCCAGGGTTGCTGGAGAAGTAAAGGGCCTCGCGTGTGCAAAGTACGCAAACACTACAGATAACACAGCTCGATGTTAGCTCCTTCTCTCTTTGAGTCTTGCTACATCCCTTGGGAGGTCAGAACAGCAGGAATTCTTTCCCCAGTTTACAGAGGCAGACGTGAAAGAAGCATCGCGGTTCTAAATCTGGGCTACTTGGGTTCAAATCCCAGTTCTCCCTCCAACTTGAGTGATCTTTGGCTGGTGGCTCTCCTCCTCTGAGCCTCTGCTTTCTCACTGTAATAGAGGAATTATACTAGGACTTAGCCCTGCTTCTCCAGGGTCTCGGGGAAGACTCTGTGAGACCAATTCCTGGCATGCGGCAGCTCCCAGTAAATGTTAATTATGCCCACGAAAGCTGTAGGCCCATGCTTAAGGGTCCTATGTGATGATCTCATCCAGTCCGTCACACCTCTGAGGTTAGGTATTAATGGTCACATGTTACCAATAAGGAGAACGAGGCTCGGGCAGGAGATGGTACCTATGCAAGTCACACAGGGAGTAAGAACCGGGATAGTAACCCAGGTCTCCGAGTCCCAGGGAGAAATCATCAGGGGAAATCTTCCGGGCCAGTGTTACAGGCAGGTGGGGGGGGGGAGGGGTGCCCAGCGTCGGGGGGTGGAGCAGAGATCCTGAGCCAGCCAGGTGGGCGGAGCTGACACCAGTGCCCATTCCCACCAGATGTGCCACAGACGCTTCGGCAACTCCAGCAACCTCAAGACCCACCTGTGCCTGCACTCGGGGGCCCGGCCCTTCTGGTGCAGTGTCTGTCCCCGGCGCTTCGCCCAGCGTGTTCACCTGAAGCTGCACGACCGCCTGCACGGCCTTGTGGCCTAGCTCACAGCCACCTGCCCCTGGCGTCTCTTGACTGCCTTGCCCGATGGCACCAGGAAGCCCTAGATCTTGTGGCGCTGCCATCAGAGAGGCAGACGGGCTGGGGTTTGGAAAAGGTCAAGGTGTCCTTGGCATCTGGGGGAAAGTATGGGCAGCCAGCCTGAGCCCTGGTGCCAGGACGGCCCCGGGGAGGGGCAGGAGCAGAGCAATTAAAGGATTTTCTCTATGGCGAGTTGAGGCCTCCCGGACTTCAGCAGTGGCGGGGGGGGGGGGGGGGGGGGGCGGCGGTGGGGAGGCGCGGCGGGGAGGGAGGAAGCAACTGTGTATCTGTCAGACTTCACACCTCACCTGGAAGCAGGTCAGAGAACACAGCCAGGGAGAGCCTGTGATGCCCGCTCACGGGGTGGGTGCTTGCAGCCATCCACATCAGCTGGATTTGGGTCCTTCTCCGTGTCTGGGACTTGGCCCTCCCATCTCAGCTTGCCAATGGATAGTCCAGCCTTCCAGGGCTCCGCATGGCACAGACTGTGCTGCCAAGCACTGGGCACACTGCTCTCTTTCCTGAGCAGATGTTCCAGCACCTGCCCAGATGTATGTCTGCTGCTTCCCACCACCTTCCTGTCTCACAGCTCCTAGGAAGCCAGTGTGCCTCCTTAGCTGGTACTCCCTGCCATGGTCAGGTAGGTGGGGTGTGCTTCTCCCTCTGTACATGCCAGGATCTGAGCCCCCCGTGGGGGTGGAGGGGCAGGAACACAAGGAGGTCAATGTCCATTCATGACCCAGAAACACGAGGTTGTCCTGTGTGCCAGGGCCACTCACCACAGAAGGCAAAGGGCTAAGGAGGTATGAGTCCACAGAAGGTGTAGAGGCCCTACAAGGAGTATAAGGGAAGAACTGGCAAAGAGAACCTGAGGAACTAGGACCCTCCTAGTGACCTTTCTCCCTGCAGTCCCAGAGGATCCCCTCAAATGTGCAAGGTATTCTGCACCCCCGGGGGACTCGGGAGTTAGCATCAGGTGGGAAAGGGTACTTACTGCCTGGGAAGCAGGAGAGCCAGGTTATAATCACAATAAACAGTAGCCATTATTAAATAATAATAGCTGGCCGGGGCGCCTGGGTGGCTCAGTTGGTTAAGCGACTGCCTTCAGCTCAGGTCACGATCCTGGAGTCCTAGAATCGAGCCCCGCATCCGGCTCCCTGCTCAGCAGGGGGTCTGCTTCTCCCTCTGACCCTCCTCCCTCTCATGCTCTGTCTCTCATTCTCTCTCTCAAACAAATAAATAAAAATTTAAAAAAATAATACAAAATAAAATTCTCAAATAATAATAGCTGGCCAACTTCCAGCAGGGGCCTCCATTCGCGCCCCCAGGGGGTTGAAAGCGACTTCCCCACCCGGGGACTGGGCGAGCTTCGCGCTGTGTCGGACGCTCTGCGGGAGCGCGCGAGAACTCTCAGGAGCCCACCGCGGCGGGGCAACGGCGGGGTCGGCTTCGGCCTCTCTCATCCCCTAATCGAGGTCCGGGTTTAAAGCCCACCCCGTCACCCCTTTGGCCCTGCGCCAGAGGCCAACCCCTCGGGCTAGGCCCCATCCGCTCGACAAGACCATGCCCCCTCCCGTCTCGACCTCGCCCCCGCGTTCTAGCCCCTCCTTCTCGGGGGGAGGGACGACCGTCGTTCAGCCTCGCGTCCGGCCCCCGCTCGCCCGAGTTTCCCCTTTCCTGCCCACCTCGTGCAAGGCCAGCTCGGGGGCCGCTCGCCCCCGGTGTGCCCCTGGAGCCCCCCGAGACCTAAGGAAGTAGCGCGGACCGTGCGGAGAGCACGGCAAGAGCGGGGAGGAGAAGTGGGGCACAGGCGGAGCGACCCCTGCAGAACGCACCCCATGTCTGGGGGCAAGGGCCGCCTCTGGGTCAGTCCCCCGCCCGCACGGACTGCGGGCGGGGCCGCTGTTTGTTCAAGGGGGCGGGCCGGAGAAGGCGTTTCTCTGCTGAGGAGCGGATCCGGGTGGCCCCCGTGGCCCCCGAGCGCTGTGGCGCCCGGGAGCCCGGAGCCTTGCCCTGGCCATGGCCGAGCGGCACGGGAGTCTGGGGGCGCGCCTGGCCCGCGGCTTGGCCAGGCTGGGGCTCCGGAGGGAGCGCCGGGGGAATCGGACCCCGGAGGAGGCCAGAGCCCGGGATAGGTGAGGGGGATGGAGGAGGGCTGCAGGGGCGCCCCTAGGGTTGTGTGTGTGTGTGTGTGTGTGTGTGTGTTAGAGGGTAGTGGATGTTCAAATAAGCGTGTATGAGTGTCTGAGCATAAAAATATACGTGTCAGTGTACTACGATTTTGGATATATGAATGTGAACATGGTCTTTAGAAAGTACCTGCGCTCTTTTGAAACTTTGGCAATTTCCGAAGTCAGGCGACGGCCCGTGGATAATGATTTCCTCTCCAGAGCCAGTTTAAGGGCAAACGTAGGAGCTCCCCCTGCCCCCGTGGACTTTGTCACGTCACAGGCCAGTTTCCCTCTAGTCTGCATTCCCTTTGTCCTGAGCACGACAGGCACCTGAGTTGTCGTCGACGGCGCTGCGTTTGCCCTCAGATGCCACGGGGACGGTTTCCCCTGTCATCCCAGACTGTAGTAACAATAAACCTTTATGTGCCTCTTGCATCCTGCCTTACCTGGATTATCTCATTTAATCCGCACAGCAGCTCCATGAGGCAGGTAGTTCATGTGGTTCAGATGTGGAAACGGAGGCTCAGACAGGTGAAGTCACCTGCCTGGTCACACAGCAGGGAAGTGGTGGGGGCGGGGTTAGAGCTTAAGCAGTCCGACTCCAGAGCCCGTGTCCTGAAGCGCTGGGCTGCTCTCTTGCCTGGGGAGATTTCAGGACTGCAAGCCAGGGGGCCAGACTTCCGTCCTAACCCTAGGTGCCACTGGCCTGGTCACCTTGAACAAATTGCTTCCTCTCTCTGAGCGCACTCATTGATAGCTACTGTCTAAGTGGAAGGAAAAAGGCTCTGGATGGCAAAGCTGAATGGCTGGGAGGGATAGTGAAGAGGCCCCCAGTGGCTCACGGGCCCTGTATCTGAAAAGAGCATGGAATGTGCTCCCAGGCACCAGGTGTTGTGTATCTATTAGTTACCAGGCAATTTGTTCTGATCTTATCATGACACAGCTGTTTTAGCAGCCCTGGGAGAGGTGGGGTACCTGAGGACTGGGCGGGTGCAGAGGGAGAGGAGGGGTTTGTACTGCTCTCTCACACCGAAGAGGGAGGGGAGGGGAGGGCCTAGCCACCCTGGAAAGCCTGGAAGCCTGGGTGCCCCAGGGGGTACCCACACCCTGCCACTGCCCTGCCCGCCCCCACCTGGAAGCCACGCCCTCTCCCATTACCTGGTCTGGCAGGAACCTGCCCTATAGGCCCCCGGTGGCACTGCCCCTCCCTTTCCCCCCCGCTTGAGAGGAGGCAGGGTTGGCATGCTGGTGAGTCAGGGGTTGGGAGGACAGGGGAGGGACTGTGCATGCTCATGGGTCAGCGTAATGATACATCCCATGCGTGCACTTGTACTTGGTTCTCACCAGATGTGGTAATGGGACTCCAGCACTAAGGCCCAGGCCTCTCTGAGCCCTGCTGATTGCCCCTGGGCAGGGGCAGGGTGGGGGGCGGCAGGCAGTCAAGGCACTTTTCCCCATCTTGCCCCCATTAGTGCCATGATGTCCAACCAGCCTTTGGAATGGGACAGTCCTAGTGTCCTAACTCCCAGGCTCACCAGCTGTGTGACTCCAGGCAAGTCACTTCACCTTTCTGGGCCTCAGTTTCCTTATCTGAAAAATAGGGACATAATATCCACCTTCTAGGATTATTGTGAGGCTTGAAGGAGATCACGTGAGCGCCATACCTAAGGCTAAGCCTGGCGCTGGGAGGGCCTCAGCAAATGGCAGGCTTTGGAATTATTGAGGTGCTGTCCTTTTTCTATATTCTGGTCCTGCTACAGACCTAGTCCCCACTCTTGTCTCAAGCTCATCTCCTGTCTCTTTCTCTCTTTTGGGGAGTAGACAGCTGGGGGAGGGAGCAGAAGGGAGGCTGCTGCATAGACCTTGCCCCACTCACTCCTAAGGTTTCAGGAGCTCATCCTGCCTATGTGCCCTGAGAGAAGTAGGGGAGGGCCCCAGGGTCCAGTCTGAGGGTGGGAGGGGAAGAGGCTACTTCACTCCTTTCCCTGTGCTTCCTTCCTAGGCCCTGGGGTGGCCGGAGCTGCCCTGACCTAACCCAGGGCCTGGGCAGCACCAGCAACTTCAGCCTCAAGGTAAGAGAGAATCCGAAGTGGTGGGAGGGGAGGGAGGGGGGTCAGAAGCTCTGGGAGGGGCTGGGCCAGCCTTGAGAACCCTGACTTAACAAGTCAGGCACCTGGAGCTCTCTAATCCTCCCTCTGCCACTGATTCACTGTGTGACCCTGCGGAGATCACTCCCCACTTCAGTTTCCCTATCTGCAAAATAGGGACAAGAATGCCGCTCAGAGTTGTCGTGAAAAAGAAAGTCATGGGTGTAGGACATCCAGCAAGGGACCTAGATGCTCTGGAAGCCTGAGCTTCCTACTCGGTGCCTGTGCCCAGGAGGCCCCTTTCTGCACTCCCTCCTTTAGCTTGACCTTGTCTCCTCTCCAGCCCTCTTTCGCCACTTCCTGGCACGGAGCCCCAGGGGTGAAGCTGGGCGGTGGTTTAACCTTCTGGCCACAGTTTTCCCATCTTCAGTGGGGACCTGAGCCATGGCTTGAACAGTAACAGGGTGTCCTCCCTTTGGAGGAGCAGAAGGCCTCCTCTGGCGGTCCTTCAAGCAGCCATGTGTCTGTGGTCCCGAATACCATTAGTAATTACTCGCATTTAATTGAGTACTCATTATGTGCTGGTTACTCTGCACGGCTTATCTCATACCGTCTTCGCAGCACTCCCAGGAAGCAGGTGCTGTTATTATCATACCCATTTTACACACGAGGAAACTGAGATTGTGGCTGGGAGGTAGCAGAGCTGCGATTTGAGCCTGGGTTGCCTGGCTCCAGGCCCCCACATTAATCATGGTGCCCTCCTGTCTCTTGAGGTATTTAGCCCCTGGGAGCAAGAGGCTGTACCTATTTCACAGATGAGTAAATTGAGGTATTTGGGATCAAGGGCCCCTGCTAGGAGGACTTTTGACCCCAGACTTGGCTCCTCTGTTGCCAAGGACACAAGCCTGTCCCTGAAAATTAGTGGTTTGGGAGCAGTGTCCATATGGCCCTCTCCCCTCACTCCCACAGCCAGGCTGGGCCCCAGGGGAAGATAGCAGATGGAGGTAGGTTTGTCCCACTTTCAGGGGAACCCTCTTCCCTGGATCCCTCATGGCCCAGGTATATCTTTATGCCCAGGTGCCTCCCAGGTGTGCTTGGGAATCTCAGGCTGCTAGAGTACGGGGGTCGGGGGACGGGGTGGGGGGGCGTTGGCTACAAGCCCTCTGGAAGCCTGGAGTCAGCAGAGGCCATAGACACTCGTACCAGGCACGTCCATGCAGCCCCTAATCCCCAGAGAAGCTGCTGCCAAAGGGCCAGAGGCCTGTGGATGCCTGGGAAGGTGGCAGTTGGCCTGAGAGTTGAGCCCTCACTTAGTGACTTTAGTCAAGTCAGTGTCCCCTCTGGGCCTCACTTCCCTCATATGCAGAACGGAAGGGGGTAAGTGAAATGCTGAGCGCCTTCCCAGAGCTCTACCCTTTGTCCAGTTCTCGTGGCCCTTAGGGCAGCTCTGCTTGGTGTCAGAGTCCTGTTCAGCTTCTCCTGTGCCCAGGAGGGCAGTCAAGGGTGAGGAGGGAGCTTGGAGGGTAGGGAGAAGTGCCGTCACCAGTCCCCTGCCTCTGCTTTCCCTTAGGCCCAGTCCCACAGCTGCTCAGAATGGGACCTTCGGGCAGGGAGCCGTGGTTCCTGGCTTCGGAGGAGACGACACAGCTCAGGGGAGCCCCCTCAGCCCCTGGGGCGCCTACAGAGGCCAGCTGTGGGCAGTGCTTCTGACCTGGCCAACTATGCCTCCGTGGGACTGGAGAGCCCCTCAGGCCCGGTGCCAGCTCCTGGAAGTTTGGAGCAAGGAACCCCAGGCTGCGCTTGCCCGCGAACCCCAGGCACTGCCCCCGAGGTTCCTGCGAGGCCTGAGCCACCAGGCAACCTGGAAAACCTGCTGCCCCGCCCAGCGTCCTTCCCCACGGCAGAAGGGGCAAAGGGCGAGGCTGTCACACCAGGGCCAGCCCTGCCACATCCAGCCCGGACCCTACACCAGTGTCCCTCTGCCAGGAGGACCCGCTACCACATCACTGTCACCCTCCAGGGGCACGGGCAGGCACTTGGGGAGGTGGGTGGGGAACCTAAACCGGCCCAACCAGCTCTCCACCCCTGCGGCCTTGAGGAATCCAGGGGCTGGCAGGATCCTCCCCAGGGGCCCCGCCCCGTCACGGGGTGCCCCACAGACCTGCCCCAGGAGCCCGGACTGAGCGCCCCGCCGCATCAGGAGGCCACAGCCCAGCAACAGGAGCACTGGGCCCACTGGACACCCGGGTCCCCACACGGACGGTGAGTAGAGGTCGGTCCCCACATGGGGCGACAGCGGGAGGGGAAACTGGCCTGGCTGCCCCCTCTTGGGTCTCTGCCTGGTTTCTGGGCTTTTTCAACTCAAGGCCCATTCATTCAGCTCCCTGAGCATGAGCTGACTGTGCCATCTCCTGCCCACCCCACTCTGCGCTCCTCTCCCTCCCCTCAGCCACAGGCTACCTCCCGCGGACTATTGCCACTCTTCTCCTCTGTCTACCTGAGAGAGGGATAGCCTGTCATGGAGGGGATGGGGGAGGGTCACCTTCTTCTCAGCAATACCCCCCACAGACCCAGTCTGGGAATAGGTGCCCAGCCAAACGGCTGGGTGTCCTGGGATAAGCTGCTTAACCTCTCTGGGACTTGAGTTGTTGAGTAGATTTGGTAGCTGGAGATGAGGAAGGCAGAGGTGGTCACAGGACATGCTTTGAACTCCAGGGAGTTGGGCCGCCCAAATAGCAGGGATGCTTGTTACTAACGCCTTAGTCGCAGCAATAACGACCCCACCTGGCCCTTGGGTGGTGACCACAGGAACAGGCGCGAGGTTCCCAAGCCTCAGTTTTTATTTGTGTTGAAATGACTCTCCTGGATCTGCCTGGTAGGCCCAGAGGTGGAAGGGTGGGTCCCCTAGAACTCACCGAGGAGGGGGTGATGTCTCTAGGGCCACCAGGAAGGGGCAGTGGGGCTCAAAGAGGGCTCTGAAAAGTTCCTAATGATGATGGTGGTGGCTGTTATTTCTGGCTTGGTTTTTTGTTTTTTGGGTTTTTTTTTTTAAGATTTTATTTATTTATTGACGGGCGGGGGGGCACAAACAAGGGGAGCTGCAGGCAGAGGGAGAGGGAGAAGCAGGCTCCCTGCTGAGTAGGGAGCCCGACACAATGCAGGACTCGATCCCAGGATCATGGGATCATGACCCGAGCCGAAGGCAGATGCTTAGCTGACTGAGCCACCCAGGGGCCCCATGGCTTATTTTCTAAGCATAATTCTTTTTATTTTTATTGTTTAAAAGATTTATTTATTTATTTTAAAGAGAGAGAGAGAGAGAGAGAGAGGGCAAGCATGCTCATACAGGAGGGAGGGGCAGAGGGTGAGGGAGAGAGAGAATCTCAAAGCAGACTCCCTGCTGAGCACAGAGCTCAATCCCACGACCCTGAGATCATGACCTGAGCCGAAACCAAGAGTCAGAAGCTTAACCAACTGTACTACCCAGGCGCCCCCTAAGCATAATTCTTTTAAATCCTCAGAAAGCCCCATGAAGCAGGACTAATCTTGTTGACTGCCCCCATTGCAATAGGGAAACTAAGGCTCAGGGAGGTCACATCACTTGCCCAAAGTCAGCTAGAAAGTCAAGGGGTCAGAACTTGAACCTGGATGCTTGTGCTCTAAGCACCACTTTCTCCTGCCTCTCCCAGAGGGCTTGCTGGCCCTGTGCCATCCGTGGAGGGTTGAGTGGTTGCTGTACAGGGTTTTCAGTGACCCCATGGAGGTGGATTTGGCAGCATCAGGAACGCCCAGGCCCCGGAGCAGGAGTCAGGGTATGTCGACCTGTGACAAGAAAGAGAGAGGTGAGACCCAGGCTGGCTCAGGGACCTGCTTGGGTGCCCCAGCTGGGAGAGAAGGGCTGCAGAGAGAGGGAAGGTGGGCAGAGGAGGCAGGCCTTGGAGAGGAGAAGGAAGAAGCAGCAGGTTTAGCTGAGGGGACTCGGGCGCGACCTGCCACTCCCTGGCTATTTTGGGACGAGGTAGCTAATGACAGACTCTGGCTGGAGGCTAGGGGCTCACTTAGAGAGGCCGGCCGCCGACCTCTGGGGATATCATCCTTCGATGACCCCTTTCTGGGGGAAGCATTCCTGGGTGAGGATTGGCAGATGTTGGGGGTCGGGGAGGTGGGGCACAGTCGGGGCTACACGAGGGGCTGTGGAAGACATGCATGCATCCATGTGTCTGTGCTTGAGTGCAGGCGGATTTCACGAGGAGGAGGAGGAGGGCTGCGAGTTGACCGTGTGTATTGTGAATGGGGACACGTGTCACTGTGTCTGTGTGTTTCTGGGTGTGTGTGTGTGTGCCTCGTGTGTCCACTGAGTCTCTCTGAGTGTGTGTAACCGTGTCTGACCGAGTCTGCGTAAGTGCACTGGTTTGGCGCCCGTGTGACTCGGTGGGACTGTGCTGATATCTGTCTTGGTGTCGGGGTGAGCCTTTGTGACGCAGCATGTGTTTGTGGGCCTATGGGCCTGTGGACTGGTTTGGCCTAGTTTGGGGGTGACTCACAGGGAAGCGGGGAGAATCCAGGACTTGTTGGGTTAGACCACGCTCTTTCCCACACTCCCCCCGCCCCCTCCTCAGCCTCTCCCTTTCCCCGCCCCACACACCTTGTTTGGAGGTCACAGTCACCCTGCCAACAGACCCATTTCTGGTCTGGGGCCCTGAAGAAGAGAGGGCTCTGGGGATGAGGACTTCTGCTAGCCTAGGAGAGGCATCCTGGGTCAGTGGGGTGTGTCTTCAGAGCAAGGACGAAAGGGGTGCTATGGACAGGCAGATTCCAGCATAGTTTGAAGAACACTCTAGCAGTCATGACTCTCCAGGGATAGGACAGGTCAGCTGTCAAATGGTGACCTCTGTATCCCCAGAAGTGTGCAAGCAGAAGCCAATGACCACATGTTTATGGAATGAGGGACTGTCAGGAGTGTTGTTCAGGGGCTGGGCTGGCTTGAGAAAGGCGTGGAATTTTGATTGCTGGGAGGTCATTTACAGTATCTGATCTGATGACCAATGGCTTCCTTTGAAGCTCTTCTTGTTGCTTTGCCAAAACCAATGGGGCCTTCCAAATGTGGTTCCTGTTTTTAGGTCCAGTTCTTTGGACCCCTGGACTCCTAGGATACCACCTTTGGGTGAACCAAACCAGGGCCCAGCACATCACCTAACACAATTAGCCCTGAATGAACGAATCAGTCAATCAGTCAATCGATGACTTAGAACCCAGGCTCTGCCACTTAATGCCCTCAGGGGCAGGGAATCTCAGTGAAATCCTAGTTATTATTATTGCAGAAATAAAGAGGAGACTCAGTAGGGGGCTCAGTGAGTGGGTGAAGCTCCTTGGCAGTAGTCCCAGCAAGCAGGACAAGGTTCTGTTGGAAGAAAAGGGGCTCCTTAGTGAGGATGGGAGGGGGTCGCGGCCTCGGGCAAAGGGCTCTGATCTAGAGCCACAGGTGTCTGGTTGTGTCCTGCTCTCAGGAATTCTGGTCTGGGGAAGGGTTTGGGATTCATGTCAGCTCCCCACCTTCCCCCTACGAAAGGCTTTTCCAGGGCCACTCAGACCCTGTCCGAGCTCCCAAGGTTCTGGAGTCAAGTCAGGCTTCCCTGGGCCTCAGCCCCTTTCATCTCTGTTCCTCATAAAATCTGAGTCACTGCTAGGGCCACAGAGCAGGATCAAAGTTCTGGGTTCCACCAGCTTCTCAGGAGAGAAGAAGATAGAGATGGGGGAGGGGAGGTGGGGACAGCGGGATATTTCTGGCCTTAACTTCCCTTATAAATGGCCTGGGGGCTGCCTCTTGGAGAGGCATGGCCCTGAAGACAGGCTCGACCTGAGGCTGAGGATGAACAGCCTGACCTCTTGGGTCCTTGGGATCTCAGAATAGGATTGTCCTGGTCAGCACAGCCTGGAAGTTGGAGTGGGGCCTGGGTGGTCCCTCCAGGACTACTATGGCCCCCTTTAAAAGTAAACCTCCAAACCATAGAGTCTTGGTTCACCAGATAATTATTACATTAGGGAGTTTAGTATGGTGGTCCAGTGCTTAGGGCTGGGGTTCAAGTCTTGCCTCTGCCGCTGTGTGATTCTGGTCAAGTTTCTTAACCTCTCTGAGCCTTTTTTGTCCTCATCTACAAAATGGGAATGTTTGTTTATAATTGATTCTTTGAGGTATCAAATGCATGGGATTCTTTTGAAGATTCAGAAGGACAATGAACATAAAGCAGTTAGCAAGGTGCCTAGCCCATGAAGCTTGAAGGGGAGAAGTGGCTGGCCCAAGGTCATCCAGCTAGGAAGCGATCGGGTCAGGGGAAGCTCAGCTTTGCCGGAGGCCACAGCCCATCTTTCCTTCCCTCCCCTTATCATGGTCATGATCAGGGTCAGAACAGTTGCCTGGTTTTCTAGTTTCTGGCTTCTGGAGGACTAGACCCAGGGCTCCTTGGGCAGAGTTACAGCCCCATCCATAGACCAGTGAGTCCGACCCATAGGCTTTTTTGCTCTCTCCCTTCTCTCTCCTTCCAGGCTCAGGCCTCAGCTTCACCCCTTGAAGGACCCTGGCATTGGGGATCATCTGAAAGTGGGGAGATGGTGGGAGAGCTGGGAGTAGCACGCCCATTTTACAGATGAAGAAACAAAGGTCCAGAAAGTCAAATGAGTTGCCTGGGGTGACCAAGCCTGAGCTTGGCAGGGGTCATTACTCTGTACTGCTGAGAGCCACCCTCCCCACCCCCTGACCCTATCTCTCTTCTTCTGGCAACATCTGCAGGGAGCTGGAGCACAGGGAGCCGAGGACACCTCAGGACAGGTTGCCAGGGCGCAACATGGAGGAGGCAGGCGGGCCCCCAGCTCAGGCTGAGGCCCCAGTGGTGAGCACCATGCTGATGTGGCGGCGGCTGCCCCCTGCCCAGGAAGAGATGAGACACCGCTTTCACAAGATGTCCCTGGTGTCGGGGGAGCAGACAGAAGCCCCCCAGGAGATGTTCGAGTACAGCCACTGTCGAGAGGAAGTCAACGGCTTTGCAACACGGGAAGAAATGACTGTAAATTACCAGGGACCCCGGGATGGGTCCCGCTCCAAGAGCTGCCAGAGCCATGGGCCCATCTTTTCTAAGAAGTACACGCTACTCCCTAAGGAGAAAAGGCCAGTGGGAAGGCTGAAGGAGGCGGTAGGCCAGGGTGATGGCCGCCCCCCAGAGCCCAGGACTGAGCCAACACACCTGGGAGCTGTGGCCAGGACTGAGATTTTGGTGCCCCTGCCTGGGCCCCGTGAGCCAAGCCCCCACCCAGGTGTCAGTCTCATCAGCGGGAGCCCCCGGATCCTCGAGGAACGTCGGGTGACACGCACCATGCAGACCACCGTGGTGGTGGGAGGGCACTTGGAGCGACGGGTGAACAGCTCCGTGACCGCGGGGCCGATGCTGTCGGGCGAGGCCCTGCTGAGGGGCCGCAAAGTTGTTCGCGCCGTACGGGCGGTGGTGGTGAGCCCCCAGGCCGGGGGCTCACCAAGCCGCAGTCAAGCCCGGGAGCTGCTAAGTAGCCTTGTGCCTGCTGAGCGTAGCACCCCCGCCAGCCGGCTTCCCAGGCCCATGGCGGTTGTGCCAGGGAGTCCGGGTCTGGGCGGTGGCACAGGGGGTGTGGCCTCGGGGAAGCTCCCTGAGACAGGGATGGCAGAGCCAAAGGACAAACCTGCTCTGGTCCCTGCACGCATCCCAGAGGATGTTCACGCACCTCAGAACCAGGAAGTCCCTGCAGCTCACCCAGACCAAGACCGGAGCAGAGCCCCAGATTCCAGAGCCCATGAGGTCCCAAGGGTGCAGGGGGTCTCCAGCTCCACCCAGCCCCCTCTCCAGATTTCTCAGGGCCATGCACTGTCACCCTCCTCTCCCAGACGCCAGACTCGTACCCCCTCCCTGGACCCAGTCCGCCCCCCAGAGCAGCCTGTAGTGCCCACTCACCCTAGGACCCAGCTCACTGTCAAGCCCAGGGGACCCCAGGCCCTGCCCTCTGTAAAAAGGGAAGGGTTCACAGATCCCTCTCCTGCCACCATACTGCCCAAGGTGAAGAGCGAGGTGGTTGTTACAGTCCCTGGACAGCCTCTTCCGCCAACCTCTACAAGAAGGAAGGCAGTCCCAAGCTCAGGAGGGCTTTCTGCTCCATCCTCCCCAAGGAATAAGTTTGTTCAGGACTCTGAAAATGTCCCTATCTTCTCCCTTACCCAGGAGGAGGTAGCGCAGGGCCCCGGTGTCCAGGCTGACCCATCCCCCACCCAGAGGGAGGTTGAGCAGGGCCCTGGTGCTCCTGCCACCTCATCCCCCAAGCCAACCAAGGTTGTCCAGGCCCCAGAAGGCAGCCCTAGCACCCAAAAAGAGGCTGTTCACAGTACTAACGGCGGCCTTGCTTCTTCTCTCAGCAAGGACAAGGCTGTTCGAGGCCTGACTGCTTCCACTATCCCATCACCCCAAAAGGAAGAGGCTGTTGAGGGCTCTGAAGTGAGCCGCATCTCATCCCCCACCCAGAAAGAGGTTGTCCAGGGTCCTGGTGCTTCTGCTGCCCCATCTCCCACCCAGAAAGTGGCTGTCCAGGACGCTGCTGCTCTCCCTGCCCCCTCCTCAGGGGGCAAGGTGTCCCCCAGCCCAGGAGGCCCACCTGCTCCAGTGCTGATGGAAGTAGAGGCCAGCCTGGAGGCCCAGCTTGTCCCTGACTCCACCGAGGGCAAGATGTTCCCAGAGACATCCAGGGAGGAGGAGGTGGCCCTGGCTGCTGACCTGGAGATTTTCCTGGACACTCTGCGGAGCATGGAGCCCCCCGAGATCCTCCGCACTCACCGGCTGCCACGAGCCCCCCGCTCCTCCTACCTGGCTATGTATGCTACGCTGCCCGCCATTGAGGAGGACCAGCCCGGACCAGGGGTGCTGGGACCCAGCCCCCAGGAGGCACCCACACTAGAAGGGAAAGAGGAGGAGGAAGAGGAGGAGGAAGAACCAGAGAACCCCTACCTAAGCGACGATGAGAAGCTCCAACGCAGACAGGAGAAAGCCGGGTCCAAGCCCTCCTGGGACTCTCGCCCTGCGAGGCCCTCCCAGGTCTCTTGTTCTCCTCTGGAGATGATGAAGAAACATGTGGCAGATGCCAAGGGCCCCCACCCAGAGCTGAGGCCAGAGTGGCAAGCAGGGGGCAGGCCCCCTTCCCGTCTTGGAGGCAGCCTTCTCTTTGGTGGTCTGGTGCCCACCATGCAGGAGGCCCCCACCTCGGAACCACTGGGCACAAAACTATCTGCTCTGACACCCCACATGACACCGGGGCTCAGGAAGGTGCCAGGACAGCTGCCCCTGCTGTGCAGCGAAAGGCCACTGCTGGAGAACCCTGCTTGTGCCCGGCCCCCGGAGGGGTGGGTGAGTGAGGCCTTCGATGAGCAAGGGAGGGCTCCTGGCCTCATCTGGGGCAGGGTTTGGATGGTATGAGGATCGTGGCACTGGGAAGAGAGCCTCAAGAAGCCAGAGGCTTGGTGATGTCTAGTTCAGTGTGATCTTATACAAGCTACATCTTTCTGGGCCTCAGTTTCCCTATTCACACAGCAGAAGGCTTGTGCTGTGGAGTCCAAAGGGCTTAGTGGCTCTGATCTCTTGGAAGCTGGGGAAAGGGAGTGATAGGCATTCACCCCCTGGGATGGGGTGATGAGGTCCCTGGAGGTTGGTGACATTCTCTGTGGGCCAGCTCTTTGGGAGTGGAGGCCAATAGGGAACATGTGGGATCCTTGGAATGACAGGTTGCGGGGAGGCAGTAAGGAGGCCACACCGTAAGACTTTTTATCACCTCCCTCCATGCCAGAGCCCAGCATTGAAGACCCAGGGCAAGCTGAACATCAGGCCTGGAAAGGTAAGGCAGGGGGAGGCCATGGGGGAGGCGGGGATCTGGGGACAGGGCCTGAGGATTCCCTCTGTGTCCTCTCTAGATGATCCTCTTCTCAGAGCCTGGCTGCCAAGGCAGCAGCAGGGAGGTCTGGGAAGACACTGCCGACACCTCTGGCTGGGCCTGCATGGCCTCTGTAAGGGTGGTTCGAGGCTGGTGAGTGCTGACTGCCAAGGCGAGGCAGGGGGCTGCTTGTGGACCTGGGGGATGTCAGGGTGGTGAGATGTACCAAGGCCAACCTGGCAGAAACCCCTTCAGCCATCCTGCTTTGTGGCTACATCCTCTCCCCACCAGTGACCCTGGGTCTCTGTGCCCACAGCTGGATGCTCTACGAAGAGCCAGAGTTCCGGGGCCGGAAGCTGGTCCTGCCTGAAGGAGATGCGAATTTAGGAGTCTCGGGGCCAGCGTGGAGCACCCAAGGCATTGGCTCCCTGAGGCGGGTTGTCCGGGTGAGTGGTTGGGAGTGGGCACCAGATGTTGCCCCGTCTTCCCCAGGATCCAGGCCCTGAGGATGGGGACACCCTCAGGTGCCTGGAGTTGGAATGGCTGGGAGAACTCATATGGGTGAGGAGCCTGAAGGGGGCTTACTATGGATTCCTGACCTCAGAGCCCCACCTGTGGAAGAAAGGAGTTCTGGGGACCTCAGCATGGCTTGGGGACGCAGGGGGCAGACAGAGGCCAAGCCCCAGCTTGGGAGAGCAGCCTGGGGAAATTTGAGCTGGACTTGGAGAAGGGTTCGGTTAGAGCAACAGAAATGGGTGGGAGTGGCTGTGGGTGCTGGCCCAACCCCCCCCCCCCCGCCCCCAGGCCCAGGATCTCAGGCCCATGGTCAGACCCAAGGTGCTAGGATGTTTGTTCATTTGCTCACAGATACTGGTTAATGTCTGCTGTGTACCAGGCACCATGCCAGGCAGTGGGTGGGTTGGGGAGACCTGCTCTCTGCCCTGCAGGACTCATGGTCAAGGTAGGGTATGAGGGTGGGACTTGAAGCAGGAAAAGCATATAATCAGATTAGGGATTTATACACATCCCTCTGGCTGCCAGGAGGAGAAATCCAGGACTCAGGAAGACCAGGCAGGGCTGTGATTTCCAGGTGAGGGGCACCTCTGAATTTGAAGGGAGAGGTGTGTGGTTTGAAAAGGCACAGTCAACATTATAGTTTCATATCTGTAAAGTGGGAAAAAACAATACTGTTTTTGTACCACAAATTTACAAACTACCAAACTTAAGCTTGACAAAACCGTCTTGGCCACTAGGGAGAAGAGAAAGCCCTAACTCTAAAAGCAGGGCCTATCAGACTTTTTTTTTTTTTAATTAAAGTACGAATAACTCCAAGACAGAGCTGTTGCAATCCTCTGGGTAAGAGGGCGAGAGCTGACGAGTCATAACCAGGGCAGTGGCCCAGCTATGCAAAGGAGGGAATGGTTTTGAAAGCCTCTCCAGAAACACACAAATGTTTGTGGACAGTTTATTGTGAGCTTCTCACAATAAATTCATCTTCATGTAGGAAGTAACGAGATAGAAGAGAAAAAACGAGAGCTTTGAAGTCAGGTGGCCCTAGTTTCATTTCATTCATTCAGCATGGATTGGGCGCCGAGTGTGTGCCAGGCTTGTGGGAGGTGCTGGTTGCAACAGTGAACAAAAACTACATTGCTCTGTTCTTTGCCCTGCTACGTCCAGGCTTTGTGCCCTCGGGTGGGCCGCCTAACTTCGCTGAGCCTCACTTTCCTAGCCTGTGAATGGAGTAAGAACGCCCGTTGAGAGGGCCAACTGAGATGGAGTAGGACATGCCCTTAGCGAAGTGCCTTGCACTCAGTAGGGGCTTCATAAGCGTTTGCTGAAGGGGTGAGGGAATGAAATGATTCTTAGTGGGAGAGAAACACCCAGAATGCAGAGAGGATCCGCTGCTGCCCGGGGTAAGATGCAGGTAGAAGCCAGTCTGGACTAGGGCAGGAATTATTTACCAAGGAAGAGTCAAAGTTAGACTCAGGAAACAGCTGTCCACCCTCTTCATCTCTGGGTTGGATTATCAGGCTACCCAGAGGCAAGGCGAACGGCCTATGGCACTTGGCAGGCTCCTGCTGGGAACTTTGGTCACAGGGACCAAAGGTCCAGCACCAAAGAGATGGCTTTGGTCTCAGGCTTGTCTGGCCCACCTTGCAGAGAACACTCTAGCCACCCTCTGGCTTCTTTGCAGATGGCCACAAAGGTCTCCCAGGAGCACCCTGAGGCCCTGGCTGGACAGGCTTGGGAAAGCAGTTAGGGGCGGGGTGGGAGTAGTCTCTGAGGGGGGCTGTTTACACTCCCTTTTCCACCTCTCTTCTGCAGGATTACATTAGCCCAGAGATCATCTTGTACTCTGAGGAGGGCCTCAAGGGGGAGCAAGTGAAGCTAACGGATGCCTTGGAGGACTCCCAGGGCCCGGAGAGGCCCCTGCAGGTGGAATCTGCCACTGTCTCTGCAGGACTGTGAGTCAGGGCAATTCTGGAATCCCTTCATTTAACATTCATTGTGCTGGGTGCTGGAGACCCAGAGGTGACAGGACACAACTCCTGCCCTCAAGAAGTGCTTAGTCTACTGGAGGGGACGCGCAAGTAAGAAGGCAGTGGTGATCGGAGTCCTGGGGTGGGGGAGCACAGAAAAGCACCAAACCAACCCGAGGTCAGAGAAACCCTCCTGGAGGAGGAGACGCCTCAGCTGGGATGAATTGGCCGCAGAAGAATCTCAGCATAATGAGAGCAGGGCATGGGCGACTTTGTATGTTTTGTTCACTACTCTCTCCCTGATGCCTGAAGCAGGGACTGGCCTGGGGTAGATGCCCCTAAATATTTGTTAATTGAATGGGGAAGAGTATATCTAGCAGAGGGAACAGCACCGGCAAAGGCCCAGAGGTGAGAGATCTAAGCCTTGGAAGTTCAGTCTGGCCCAAGAAAGCAGCAGGTGGGGAGATGTGAGGCCCAGGAGTATGGCAGGGAGACAGATCAAAGGGCCTCTGTGCAGCTGGACTATATTGTGGGGCTAACGGGGAACTACTGGGGGCCCCTAAGCAGGTATGTGTGCAGGAAAGAACTCTCCAGCTGTGAGAAATTAGAGAGCGCCAGGCCAGAGGAATGGGGATGGATGGAGTGGCTACTGCAAGAGATTATGGGGGTCTGAAATATCCTCCAGCATCGACTTGATGGGGGCCTCTTCCCCTAAACCTTCTTCTCCCCTCTAAACCTTCCCCCCAACCACCAATCTGTGTCCCTGGCTATCTGGGCCACAGCTGCCTTTCTGCCTCCTCCCCCCCAGGTGGCTGCTGTACCCCAAACCCTTCTTTGAAGACACTCCCTGCATCCTGGAGCCTGGAGAGTACCCCACCTCAGAGGCCTGGGGTACATCAGACCCCAGGGTGGGCTCCTTGAAGCCCATGCGACTGGTAAGGGGCAAGTGGTCACAAGTTACCTCATCCTGCAGGTTGGGGGAAGAGGCAGGGCCTGGGGGGCTCCTGCTGAGAGTGGGATCTGGGAGAGGGGGAATTAGCCCAAGGGCTGGGGCAGAGGGAAAACAAGGGGTTGGCCATTTCTAGGGGTCTCAGGATCAAGTAAATCCTGGATTACCAGCCCCATCTGTCTTCTTCCTCTACCTCTGGGCTGGTGTCTCAGCTCTGTCTCCTCTGCAGGGCTGCCCGAGTGTGGAAAAGCCAGGGGAGCCCAAGGTAGGAGTCTGCGCTGCAGGGTCGAAGAGGGCCTTTGGGTGGGATGTGTCTATGCGTGTGGCTATCATAGTCTGGACCAGAAGACAGGGGAGGAGAGTGCTGGGGAACAGAAGCTGGGTTTGGGAGGGTGGAATCCTATGGGCTCACTGGGAACTGGCTTTTGGTGTGTAAGGAGGTTAGAGGTAAGAGAAGAGACAGGAGTTACCTAAGAGAATGGAGCTTAGTGAGAGTGGGAGGACTTAGCTCTGGGCTAACTAATGCTGGGCAGGGACTCCCTGGGCTGGCTGGGTGTGTTTCAGTCCAGACGGCTCCCCACCACCCTCACACCACCCCCTTTCCCCCAGGTTGTGGTTTATGAGGCCACAGGCTTTCAGGGCCAGAGCTGGGAAGTGAGCAGAGACATCTACAACCTTCAGCAGCCAGAGGACAGCCAGAGCCCCCACCTGGCCTCTGTGGGGTCCCTGCGAGTTCTTGGGGGCTGGTGAGGACTCTGAAACTTTCCTCCTACTTCATCCTCCCTTCTGGCCTCTACAGTGGGGTTGGGGAATGGCCCGGGCTGCCTAGGGGTGGGGGCAGCTGTCTTACACATCCGTGGGCCTTCCTGACCAAGTCTGTTTGTCCGCCTCCGCCTTCCCGCAGCTGGGTGGGCTACCAGAAGGCAGGCTTCCGGGGCCACCAGTATCTGCTGGAGGAGGGGGAGTATGCTGATTGGTCACACTGGGGAGGCTTTGACGAGGGGCTGACCTCCCTGCGGGTCATCCGGACGGTAAGCAAGGGCAATTGGGCCATCCCTCTGCCTGTGGCCACAGCCAGACATCTCCCACCCCACCCCCCGCCCCGCCCGCAAGTACAATCTGTTGAGAGAAGAGTTTGTGTCCTCTTTCCCAGTCCTCCAGAGCACCTGGAAGTGTTCCCTGAGGTCTAGCCTCTTGCCTTCGGGCTGCTCTTCCCCAGGCCACACTGATCTCCTTACTGCAAAGTCCCCTGGTGGGCTGCGTCCCCGGGGTCTGGGCACTCCCAGGGATTTCCGTGGGTGGGCAGGAGAGACCTGACTATCCCTGGGGCCCAGGACTTTGGGGACCCGGCCGTGGTGCTGTTTGAGGCCATGGACTTCGAGGGGCATGGCGTGGAGGTGAGAGAGGCATTGCCGGACGTGGAGCTGGCGCGACACGGCCCCCACACGCAGGCCATCCACGTGCTCAGCGGCGTGTGAGTGACCCCGGCTCCGGGAGCGAGGCGGGCCAGGAGCGGTTTCCTCTGAGGCGCCGGCTCCGCCCCGCTGACCCGGGCCCCGCCCTCCCTGCAGGTGGGTGGCCTATCAGAAGGTGGGCTTCTCCGGGGAGCAGTACGTGCTGGAGAAGGGCGTGTACCGCAACTGCTATGACTGGGGCGCGGGCAACAGCGCCCTCGCCTCGCTGCAGCCGGTCCTGCAGGTGCGCGCCAGCCGTGGGGGGCGGGGCCCTGGGGCCTGGGCGGGGCCCGCCGCTGCGGGGGCGGGGCTGGAAGACGCGAGCGGGGAGCGTGGGGGCGGGGCCCCTGAGAAGGGGCGGAGCTAACACGGGCCTGAGCGACGGGTTGCTGTGGAAAGAGTCGGGAAACTGAGGCTAGAGGCTGGTACCCTCCTTAAGTCTCGAAACTTTGGGCCCTCCCTTCAGGTCGGCGAGCACAATCTGCACTTTGTCTCAAAGGTAAGGAGCTGGTGCGGGGCCTGTCTCCTCTTCCCTATTCTCTCTGTCCCACTCCATCGCCCTCCATTCTCAGCTCTTCATGTCTCTACCTGCAGATTCAGCTTTTCTCCGGCCCCGACTTCCTGGGCGACCACATCTCCTTCGAGGATGACCAGACCTCCCTGCCCGCCTGCTTCCAGGTCCAGTCTTGCCGTGTCCACGGGGGCAGGTGAGGACGTGGGGGAGGGGAGAAGCGGGGCGCACCTGCCGCACCGGCCCGAGCGCGCTTAACTCAACTTGGAAATCCAGGCTGCTGGAAGGTCTTTCTTTGAAATGATTTCTTTCCTTCGGCTTCCTTGAGATTAGCTATTCTGTCCCGAATCATTCAATCTTAAAGCAAACCAAGCAAAATAAAGGTTTAATGGAAAACGTAAAACTTGTAGGTAGTATAGGATAAAGAACTCCAATCTTGTTTCATCTATCTCGCTGCCTTTTATTTTTTTTTTTTAGTGGAGCATTTAAAATCCCTGACCCAACATAAAATTTTACAGGTAAATACTTAAATATGTCTCTCTAGTAAGAAAGAACTCTCCCCAACCCACATAGCCATAATTTATTATCACAGCTAATAAAATTAACAGTAGTTTGTTAGTGTTACCTAATACCCAGGCCATGTTCAGATTTCTCCCATTGTCTTAAAAAAGTGCCTTTGTGAAATTGATTTGTTTTTCTCAGGATCCAAACAAGGTCCACACATTGCTTTTGGTCAGTTTGGTCTTTAATTTATAGCAGTTCCCCTCCTTTCTTTTTGTTTTATATCATTCATTTGTTTAAAGAAACCAATAGGGGTGCCTGGGTGGCACAGTTGGTTAAGCCACGAACTCTTGGTTTTGGCTCAGGTCATGATCTCAGGGTGGTGAGATCGAGCCCCCCAGGAGCCCTGTGTCTGGCTCCGCGCTGGGGGTAGAGCCTGCTTGAGATTCTCTCTCTTCCTCTCCTTCTGCAGCCCCCCTTCCCCCTCCCCAAAAAGAAAAGAAAACCAATCATTTGCCCTGTAAGTTTCCCATCTTCTGAATTTGGCTTATTGCTTCCTTTGGGTGCCTTTTTTCCCTTTGTGTCCCATATTTCCTGTAAACTGGTAGATCTGGAGGCTTGATGAGATTCAGGGTGTTTTGTTCTGTTGGCAAGAAGACTATATAAGTGGTACCCTGTACTTTTTACTACATTACCTCAGGCACATACCTGGTTGTCCCACTTTTAATGATATCAAGATCCCTACATTGTAAGATTTGCCATTAAAAAAATAAGATTTGTTATTTACCTCTCACCTAATGGTATTAGCATCCACTGATGATAATTGCCTAGACCCCTTATTTCTTTAGAGGTTACAAAATGATGATTTTAAGATTTTTGGTATTCCTTCTACATATGTTAGCTGGAATACCTCTATAAAGAAGAGCTTTCCCTTTTCTATTATTTGTTTACCCAAAATAGTTTATATAAAAAAGGCAGTTTGATCCTTTCCCAAGGATCAGTTTCTCTTGATCAATTTTCAGAATAATTTCTGAATTGGTGCCCTAGCAACCTCTAGAGCTAATGAAATATTTTTTAAGTATTGTTATGAACTCATGGATTTATATGTAATTGAAATGCCTCCGTCCATTGGAGTTACTATTCTTTTGTGTGCTCTAATCATTCTCTCTTTGACAAATGAGAGCCCCTTCAAATTGTCTGCTTTTGATGTGACTCCAATAGGTTTTTTATAATTTCCTTGTTTTCCTGGTATAATAAGATGCTCCAGGATCATTTTGTACATTTTTGCCCTAAACTTGGATTTAGTTATCTGCCAAGGGACTCCGATTCCAATGGTATTTGGATGGAAGCTGGATGTTTCAAAACTATATTACTAATATTACTAACAGTAAAAAGCAGTGAAAACTGTTTGAGGTTTCTCTGTGGTTCTTTTTGTCCTCAGGACATTCACCAACACCCCACTTGGTATGTGCAGTTCAAAGTATCATTTTTAAGACATTTGAAATAATACTTTTTGTGTGTGTGGTTATGCCACCAACCTGATATACAGTTAGGTTCATTTATTTTATTTTATTTATTTAAATTTTTAGGAATACTTTCCATTTTTACTTAATTGTTTTTTAATTACATAAAAAATTTATAGTGTCCCTGTCATAGCTTGGGCTGCTGTAACAAAATATCATAGGCTGGAAGACTTCAACAACAGGAACTTATTTTCTCACAGTTCTAGAGGCTGGGAAGTCCAAGGTCAAGGTGCAGGCCCATTCTCGGCTCCCCAGCGAGGCCTCACTTCCTGGCTAGCACATAGCTGCCTTCTTCCTGTGTCCCCATGTGGTGGAGAGAGTGCTCCTGTGCCTTCCTCTTGTATAGGGACACTATACCCATCATGAGGCCCACCTTCCTGACCTCATCTGAATTTCCCAAAGGCCATCATATTTGAGGTTAGGGCTTCAACATAGGAATTTTGGGGAGACACATTCAGTCCAGAGCAGTTCCAAAGCTAAGTCAATCAGTAGGACCTATCTCTATCCCTGTGATCTTTTCCCCTCCCTCCCTCATAGGTAATCTTTTGTTTTTTCAGTGTTTAGTTAACTCATCCATTGTTTCTTTTTGAAAATATATGCGAATATACTCTCATATATAAATTTGTATATAAATATAGAAACCAAATATATTTGTTGCTCTCTTTCCCCATTTTCTTACACAAAAAGAAGTGTACTACAACCTGGCGAATACTAAAGACCACTGAATTGTACACTTTAAAGAATGAAGTTTATGGTATGTGCATTATATCTCAGTTTTTCAAAAGGGAAGCATACTATAAACACTGTTCTGCCCCTTGTTTGTTTTTCCTTAACAGTTTGGAGATCATTTTATATCCCTTTAAGAGCTCTTCCTCATTCCTTTTTACTGCTGTGTTATTATACTCTACATTCTTAGTTTAATCAACTCTCCCCTGTTGATGGACATTTAGACTGCTTCCACTCTGCCATGGCCACCCACACTGCACGAAGAACTTTGTGCATGCGCCATTTCAGGTTTCTGAAGGAGGTTTCGAGATTCCGAGAAATGGGACTGCTGAGTGATTGTGCATAGAGTTTTGCTTCATATTGCCAAATTTCCCTCCATAGGGGCAGTATGATTTCATCCAGTCATTTCTGAAGCCTTGGCCTCAGTCTCTTGCTGCAGGGCCTGTTCATTCTTGACTTCCCACGGGCTTGGAGCGGGGGGTGGGGGTCACAATCAAGTCCGCCTCCACTCTGCTGCATCTCAGAGGGCCTGGCAGGCCAAGCACAGGATGGGACAAGCTCAGATACCTACTCACATCCTCCTACTCTTCCCCTTCCCCAGCTGGATCCTGTTTGATGAGAAGAACTTTGAGGGTGACCAACACATTCTCTCCGAGGGCGAGTTCCCCACTCTCACAGCCATGGGCTGCCTAGCCTCCACAGTCCTGGGCTCTCTCCAGAAGGTACCCCTGGTGAGTAGCCTTGTCCAGGTCCAGGCAACCCCTGGGGCAGGAGGTGCTGCTGGGGACATGCCGGGTACCGGGTCTCTTCTCACTGTTGGCTAGGCTGCTGGAGCTTCAAGCCAGTCATCGTCAGAACCACCCCAGGTCCCTCCGAACCCATGGCTTCAAAGGCAGTTTGACTTACTAGAGAGTTATTGAGCACCCACCGTGACAGGTCGCTGGGGACGCTGAAATAAATCAGACACAGCCCTGCCTTCAAGGAACCCATGGCCACACTGACATAAAGATGACAAGGCAGTGGTGTGCCCAGATATAGAGGTGGTCTGGGGACAGGAGGGACTAGCACTCAGGTGATCGGGGGCAGGGGCCGGACTGCGGAGAGGGGCTTCTGTGCGGGAAGGAGTGGGACAGAGGGCTGGCTCCGCTGTGTGGGGAGGATTGGGGACAAGGCAGTAGGGTTGCCGCTCCAGTAAGGGAGAGGGGGAAGGATGGACCCTGGGCCAGGGAGGAGATGGAGGGAAGTGGCCCGGCCATAGTAAGGAACCAGAGTCTGGAGGACGGGGTGGGCCAGCCATGGCAGCACAGCAGACGGTGACCGCCGAGCTCCAGGCGGTGTGTAAAATGCTTCCCCTGCACTTAATCCGATGAGCTTTGTCACTGCCGTCAGCTCCCTTCTCCAGATGTGAAACAGACGCACAGAGAGGTTGTGCGACTTGCTCCAGGCCACAAAGGTGGTGACAGGCAGAGCTGAGTTCTCCCCGAGGCAGCCTCGCTGCTGAGTCCAAGCTTTATAAGTACACGTTGGGCTCTGCAGGCAGACAGACCTGGTTCTGAAGCCCAGCTCTAGGGACTTGAGCAAGTGGTTTGATCTTCTCCAGACTCAGTTTCCCTTCTGTTAAGCAAGGATGATAATAACAGCACCTACCTTACAGGGTTGTTGAGAAGTTATAATGAGATCAGGTAAAGCACTTAGCACAGAATCTGGCAGGTGGTAAGCCCTGAATACATGAGAACCGCTATAATTACTGCTATAATTACTACTGTTAGAAGCACCATTAACTGGCACTGCGAGGAGGTTTGAGGGGGCCGTGGGGGGCCCACTCTGGCACGTGCTGCATCTGAGAATCTGGGGGACGCCCAGCTGCCAGTGTCCAGGAGTCCAGGGCTCTGTGGGGTGGAGCTCAGGAGGGAAGAGGGCCTGAAATATGGATCTGGGGATTGGAGTATCTGGAATTTGGGGCCGAGGTGGGGGCTGGGGCTCTCTCGGCCTCACCGCTTTTCCATGCCCTGGCCCCAGCACTTTTCAGAGCCCTCCATTTTTCTGTACGGACTGGAGTGCTTTGAGGGGAAGGAGATCGAGCTGGACAGGGAGGTGCGCAGCCTGCAAGCGGAGGGCTTCAACAACCACGTGCTGTCCGTGCGGATCAGGGGGGGCGTGTGAGTGTGTTGGGCGAGCTCAAGGGTAGGGGCTGCTAGGGAGTGAGGGCTGGGTCCCTGGCCTCTTGCCCCTTTCCATTCCCTTCCATTCCCTGCCCCCAGCCAAGAAGGAGGGAGAGGGGCAGTGTGAGGAGGGCCTTGGACCCCAGCCTGGATCCTCCACGACCCTCCTCTGCCCTGCAAATCCGAAATCCACTTCCCGGCCCCCTTCTCCTCCCTCGGGACCCTAACACCAGGCAGAGGAGTCTCAGCATGAGAGAAAAGGAGGTGGAGAATGTTCTGACATCTGTGCCTCTCCTCCACCTGTCTGTCTATCTGTCTTGCTCTCTGCATCTCCGGCACCTGTGGGGCCCAGCTGGGTGCTGTGTGAGCACAGTGACTTCCGGGGCCGCCAGTGGCTGGTGGGCAGCTGCGAGATCACCAACTGGCTGACGTACAGCGGGACGCAGAGGGTGGGTTCCCTCTACCCCATCAAGCAGGTGGGTAGCGAGTCGGGTTGTGTGTGTCTGTGCCGGTCTTTCGGGCCGTGTGCTTCCCATGTTTCCCAAACTCAGCATTTGGGTACTTTTGTCACAATTTTGCCACAATTTTGCCACATTGTCGTTCCTCTTGAACCATTATCTACTTAATATTTTTCTCTAAACCAACTCACTTTTTGTCTTCACTTTATCCTTATGCTAGGGACTGATATCCATAAAATCATGGGTTTGGTGTGTGTGTATGATTTTTCTTTAATTGGCATTATAATAAATACATAGCCATTAAATTTTTAGCCATCTGTTTATCCACTTAGGACTAAAAATCATCTCATGTGCCTCCCTCTGGGAAACACTGGAACACCTGGAAACGCTTGGGTTTCTCCAGGTCTCAGAGCGCATGTCTGGACCTGCTTCTCATTGATGTACATGCGCATTGTTGTGGAGGCAGGGCCATGGGGCGCGCGCACGCACGCGTGCGTGTGTGTGCGCGCGCACGCATGCCCTCTCAGGGTATTTCTGTGGCTGTGACGTTATTTGTATCCATGTGTCTGTGCTCTGGAGGTGACGTGGTTGTGTGGGAGGTGTGTAAATGACTACCTGTGCCTGCTTTTGTGACACTGTTGAGACAGCGTGTGTCCTTGTATGAGGATCTTTGTGTGGCCCCTAGATTCACAGACTCTTAGGACAGCATTGCTAGAAGAAAGGTTGGAGGTTCTCTCCGGCCCCCACATTTACAAATGGGGAAATAAAGGTCCACAGAAATGGACAAGGATTTGCTCTGCAATCTTGAGCAAGTACTGTACCTCCATGGACCTCTTTAAAATGGGGATAACGTAGGGGCCACCTGGCTGGCTCAGTCGGTAGAGCATGCGACTCTTGATCTCAGGGTTGTGAGTTCGAGCCCCACGTTAGGTGTAGAGATTACTTACAAAAAAGACCAAAAAAAAAAAAAAATCTTTAAAAAGAAATAAAATGGGGATAACACATGTGATGGAGTTGTCTTGAGGACTGAAGATAAATAATGTTTGTAAAGCCCTTAGAACGGTGCTTGAGTGGGTTAGCGGTGGTTCTTCTGACTGCTATTACCATCACCACGATCCAAGGCCCCCGGCTGATCTGTGGCAGAGCCTGGTCTGATGTGTGACAACCGGGTGTCTGCCCCACACCCGGGCCAGTGTTCTTCTTCAGCACGGGTGTGTGTGCGCATGTCTGTATTCCTACTTGCATCCATCCTGTTAGCAAACATGGGGTGTGGAGTCGGCTGGCGGGGGCGGGGCTGCGTGTGTCTGTGGCTTTGTGGCTGCGGCAAACTTCTGCCCAACCACGGGGACCTGGTGCATCTCTGCCAGTGTGTCCCTGTACGTGTGGTGTCTGTGGTCGTGGGTGTGCACCACAGATGCACCCCTGATACACGTGTGTGAGAGAAGAAGCAGGGCCAAGGAAGGCTTCAGGGCAGGAGGGAGGGCTTGGGGGGCTGGGGATGCTCGTGGTTCCAGAGCTGAGGGTGTCGGGTGCCCAGCTGGGAGCATCCCTGCCCCAGGGATCTCTCACTCTCCACTCCTCCTGCACCCCCCCCCCAGCCCCGGGTTTATTTCCGCCTCTGGAATCCCGCACTGAGGGGATTCCTGGCGGTGCCAGACCACGTGGAGGACATGAAGGCGGGCCGTGTGGTGGTCTCTGAGCCCCAAGCGGGAGGCAGCTGCATCTGGTACTACGAGCATGGGCTGCTGAAGAACCAGGTACTGGTTGAGGGGCTGGGACGGGAACACCAGAGCCCCAGGCACTCGAAGGTTCCCTGCGTGGGGAAGCAGGACCTGCCCTCGGGCCAGAGAGACAGAGAGAGACACACACCTGCCAGGACCCTGGGGAGGCGGGGAAGACTCCAGGCTCTGCTCCCCTGGGCAGTGTGGGCTCCTCTCTGGGCCTCAGTTCCCCATCTGCAAAACAAGAGCGTTGAACCAGATACTTCTAAGGGAACTCCTAGCTCTGATATCCTGGGACAGACCTTGGATCCTATTAATAAGGATAGATTCACTCCACGAACATTTCCCAAGCACCTGCCCTTCCGAAGCTGACATCGTAGTGGGGGAGAGACAGAAACCATTTAAATGAGTAAAATACCTCAGTACGTTAGGGGATGAGAAGTGCATGCGAGGAAAAATCAATGAAAGGGGAACAGGGAGTATCAGTAGCTCTGACAAGGGGAGCCCTTCCTAAGAAGGTGGCATTTGGGGCGCCTGGGTGGCTCAGTCTTTAAGCGTCTGCCTTCGGCTCAGGTCATGATCCCAGGCTCCTGGGATCGAGCCCCGCGTCGGGCTCCCTGCTCGGCAGGAAGCCTGCTTCTCCCTCTCCTTCTGTCCCTGCTTGTGTTCCTGCTCTCGCTATGTCTCTCTCTGTCAAAAAAATAAATAAAATCTAAAAAAAAAGAAGGTGGCATTTGAGGGAGGCAGCCATGTAGGTATCTGCAGGAAGCGTGCTCCCTGCAGGGGGAACAGTCGCGGAAAGGCCCTGAGGTGGGAACCTACCTGGCAACAGGACTAGCCAGCTCCCCTCACTGGTGGCAGTGAAGGGAGGGCGGGAGGGAAGTAGCAAGAGAGAGGAGGTCAGAAAGGTTACGGGGGTGTGGGTCTTTGTAGGCCATGGAAGGAGCTTCGCTTCTTACTTGAAATGGGAGAGAACCTGGCTCTGTGGCAGGTGCTGTGGTAAGCCCTCTACATGAATGCCTCGTATGATCCTCAGAGGGCACTATGGGGCAGGTCTTACTCTACTCCCCATTTTATAGGTGAGGAAACTGGAGCACAGAGAAGTTAAGTAACAGGCTGAAAGTCACACAGGCAGTTAGTGTGTGGAAGCTTGTCTGATGCGAAATCCTCTGCTTTGGGAGTCAGTCACAAGAGGCTTCCTGGAGGAGCTATTTTTCCAGACCTTTTATGGGTTTTCACATGGACTGCCTGCATCAGGCAGCACTCAGAGGTTCCCATCCCCAGGGAATCCAGCACGCAGAAGGATTAAGAGATTTGCCCAGGGCCCCAGTCCCTGAGAACCAGGATTCAAAGCTGGGTGTGTGTTAAGCGTGTCGGGTTTGGCGGAGTCCCTGATGACCTCCTGGGGCCTCAGGTGGCCCCGACCATGAGCCTGCAGGTGATCGGGCCCCCCAACACAGGCTCGAAGGCGGTGCTGTGGGCTGAGAGCCGCCTGCCCCGCCAGACGTGGAGCATCAGTGAATCGGGCCACATCTGCAGCCAGATGTTTGAAGGCCGGATCCTAGATGTGAAGGGTAAGGGGGCCTGTATGTGGGAGAAGGCACCTGGGGGGGCTGCGGCCAGTGGGGTCCTCAGCAATCTCTGACCATCTCCCCATCTCTCACCCCTTCCCCCAGGCGGCCGGAGCTATGACCAGGACCATGCGGTGCTGTGGGAGCTGGCCAAGGACCGGGCGTCCCAGATCTGGACCGTCCATGTGCTCTGACCGCCCCCGTTCCCCAGCCCTGGAGGCTTTCCCTGGGATGGAATGTTTTTATAGGCTTTTTGTTGTTGTTGTAACATAAGCTGTTTTCTAATATGCTCCCAGGTACCCTCATCTTTGTGCACCTTGATATTTGGGGATGGGGTGAGGATTTGTTCACCTGCCTTCTTTGCCCTATACTCGCCCTACTTCTTTCCTCCCAGCTCTGGTTCTGGGGCTCAGCTGTAAGGCCTCCCTTGGCCACCAGAGGGAGCCCTGGGCCCAGACAAACTGATGAGTGTGGTCTTTATGCTGTCACCCCAAATGATGGGTTCCAAGAGCCGGCTCTGAGCCAGGTCCAAATGGGTCCACTGAGCTGTGGGGCACAAACAGAAGCCAAGCCCCTTGGTACCTGCCCTCAGAGAACTCACAGGCTAGTGGAGGATTCCTACAGGTAGGGTAATAACACTCAATGGTAGGATAGGAAGGGAAGTAGAAGGATGCACAGAGGAGGAACCTGAACCACTTAGGGGCACAGGGCAGGCTGCTGGGAGGAAGGGATGCTCAGCTGAGATGTGGAGGAGGGGAAGGAGTCAGCCAGGCTAGAGGGTGGCGGAGGAAAAGTGTTCTAGGGATGCAGGTAAGTCGAGGGGTGAAGACTTGGAAGTTCAGTATGAAGGAGTTGCAGCGGGCCAGGCAGGAGAGGTGAATGGGAGACACACCCCCAAGGACCTTGCCCACTGGCGTCCCTCTTAATTTCCCCCAACTCCAGTCTAAAGGCCCAAAGGTTTGGCCTCTCAGTCAAAGAAGCCAGGACAGGGAGTCTGGGTTCTTAACCCAGCCTAGAAAAGACAGGACATAGAAGAGGAACAGCTCCCTCCATCCCCCGATCTAGCAGGCACTTCTCAGCCCCTTGGCCAAGGTCCTCTAGGAAGAGACAGAGAAGCTCAAGGCCCTTGGGGGCTTCTCTGGGGCTCCCTTCCCTCCTTGCAGCTCCCAGTACCACCACTGCAGACCCAGGATGCTAGAAGTGGTTAGAGCACCTGTGTCCTTCCTGCCTTCCCAGCCTGGGTTCAGTGGGGTATAAGTGGACGGCCTCCTCGTCATCCTTTTCAGCACCCCTGGTGGACCAGTGTCCAGTGTCCGGTGAGGACAGGAGGGTGCCTGTGGGGCTGAGACCCCAAGAGCTGAGGGAGTGGGTCTCTGAATCTGCCATTCTGAAGACACCCAGGTATAGGGTGAGGGATTCTCTGAGCTTCTGCAACCGGGGATGTCCAGGGCCAGGATGGGGGGAGGCGGGTCCTCTGGGACCGTCATTCCCAAACACCTAGGGCTGGGTGAAGCACATGCAACTAAAGAGGCTGGCAGATTCTGGGCCATGTCCCTGCAAGGTGATCCTGAGGGGAGAGGCCTCCGCCCTGGGATTCTGGGGCGGGAACGCTAGCATAGGAGCTCTCTGGTGCTACCTCTCCTGCTGGGGGGGGCAAGGGAAGATCCTTGGTGCTGCTGCAAACCAGGCTCTTGGAGTCCGGCGATGTGCAGTGACCACACGCAGGACCCCGCTCCAAGTACAGGACAACTTTATTGATCCCCAGCTGGGTGCCGCTTGCCCCCCCATAGCTCCAAGGCACTGCCTCTCAATTCCCACAGCCTGGTCATCTCTGGCATCAACCCCTCCCAGGGACGTGGTGGTGGTGGGGCGGGGGGCTTCTCTTGCTAGTGATGGTGGCAGCTGTCTCAGGGGGCCCGGAGCTAGGGCTGAGGCATGTCACCTCAGCTGAGGTAGAAGAGCTGGACGAGGGTGTTAGCCAGGAAGAGAAAGACACTGCTACCGCCTACGTTGCTGAGTGCTGGGGATGCACTCTTGGGTTCCTTGGTGGTGGTGGCTGTGGTACCATTTCCCAGGACTCCAGTTTCTATCTGCAAGAGAAGTGGGGCAAGCTCAGGGCTTTCGAAGCTCAGGTTATTTAGAGACCTAGTTCCCCTACCCTGATACAATAGTTCTCTGGTCTCTGTCCCCCATGACCATGACTTCTGCCACAAGGTCTTGTGGGGACAGGACCTTCCTGCCTTGGCACAGGCAGGGTCAAAGGCGGTTCCTCCCATGGAAGCTTCTTTTCACCTCCGCCAAGCCACCAGCTCCTCCAGCATGTGGGAGACAGGAACCTGTGTCTCAGCCCTTGACCTGACTAGCTGAGCTAGGGGCTCAGCCTCTCTGAGCCTACTTCCTCATCTTCTGAATGAGCCCATCACAATCTTGAGGTCGTGTGAAACGAGGCTGGGGAGAAGACACTGGCAAAGTGTGGGTGGGCGAGGAGGTGGGGAGGGTGTGACCTCTTGCACGAGGAAATCGCCAGATGGTGATCCAACTGTTCTCAATGCTTGACCAGGCTACAAGTAAAGCTGCCCCTGATGGAGATGAAGCTGTTTTTGATGGTGATCAGGCTGTTCTTGATGCTTGATCAAGCTGTTCTTGATCTAGAACTTGATGGCTCTGGTCTCCTATGAGGGCTAGCGCCCTTAGGGCACATGGGATGCTGCCAAATCTGCCTCCTGGAATAGCAGTTGAATTTGAGACTCCAGCTGTTTCTGGAGTGGGAGATTTCTATCTTCTTTGCATTCCCGAACACATAGGCTTTTCTCCCTGGGGTGGTTCCCTGCTATCTCCAGGACCAGATCTAGCTCCCCTTGAACCTGTCCTGGCCCCTTCCCAACAGGGCCACTTCCCCAGCTTCCCTGGGGATTGATGCCATCCTTCCTCACTCCGAGCTGTCTCCCCAAGCCTTGTCATTCCTATTCCACATCACCCCCCTGTGTGCCTCACTGTGCCTGGCACCCTGCGAACGCTCCCCAGCCTCAAGCAGTCTGCGCCCAGCCAGAAGGGCTGGAATGCTGGGACCAGGCCCCCTGAGTCCTGGGTTCTCCTGCTGGGACCCTCTGTTCTCCTGGAAGAAGGCTGAGTGCCCAGGAGCCTGCATTTCTTCCCTCCCCTGCCAGGCAGGTCTGGGGAGTCCTGGGTGGTGGTGTCGGGGGCTCCAAGGGGCTGTTCTTACCTGAATCAGAACCAGGAGACTGATGCTGAGTAGGAGGAAGAAGGAGCCCTTCATCCTTGGAGAATCTTGGTGGCTGTCTTGGTAGCAGCTTCTAGAGATGAGCGCAGGCTTGTCTGCAGGCCTCTTGGCTTGGCTGCTTTTGAACCAGGAGGCAGCAGAGGCGGGGTAGAAGCAGGAAGAAGGAGGGCCTATGGGTGTGGGGTGGGGTGCTTCTACTTTTCTGCAGACCTCATGATTGAGGACACCAGGCCCTAGGTTCTAAGGCCTGCTGTAGATGGTAGGTGCTGGATAGGGACTGAGGCAAGTGTTGGGATGGGAGGTGGGCAAACCAAGGGAGCCTCTGTGGGACAGTAAGCAGGGCCCTGAGCTTGGAGTCTTGCAGAGTGGGGAGTGAATCTTGGTCTAATTACCTATAAACCCTGAGACCTGGGCTAGCAACTGTGCCCCTCTGAATCGTTAACGCCAAGAGCTGCCAGAGAATTAAATATAATTAAGAATATTGGAGCAAGGGATAGGAGCTAAAAAAGAGACTGAGATAGGCTTAGGTTTCAAGGTAAGGTTGTAGCTGGCTCCACAGTTTCAGAACGAACGTTTGGGGACCATGAAAACTTAGGGTTAATAGATTTCTGTGAAATCAAAGGAGCACAGCTTTAGGAATCCAGAGACTTAACTCCTGGGTGAGCCCATTCCCTCCAGACCTCAGGTTTCACCTTTCAAGTGAGAAGGCTGGAGTGGATGATTATTTTAAGGCCAGAATTTTGTGATTTGGAAACAGAAAATAGCAGGTGGGTTGTTTGTATTGCTGACCTTAACAATGAAACAGTTATTTGATCCAAAACGGGTTTATTCAGGAATAGAAGAGAACTGCAATTCAGGACCAGCAAGCTACACCAAAACCCAGAGGCTAGCCCAACAAAGGAGAGAAACCTTATTTAACGGAGAAGGAGGAGGAAGTTGGGAGGAGTTGTTTTGAACAGAAGTCTAAAGGAGAGAAGGCGGCAAGTCCAGGGTGCTGATTTCTCATTGGCTGAGCTGCTGGGGTGGTCCACTTCCCTTTTCCTGCTGGGGTCTGTAACCGACAAGTCTTTCCGTAATTGAGGTTGGGTGATATGGCCTGAGAGCTCCCCCTGCTGGCCTCTCCGCTCCATTTTAGTGAGGTTTCCTTTTCTTTCCACATTTCCTCGTTGTGATCAAGATCTTTCTCCAAAAGCATCCCTGATCAAGAGTCCGGTTTTCCTAATTCAGTGACCTTCTGTTCCTCAGTGCCAGAAGGGGTCTTCCCTGGGTGTCATTTCCCAAATGAAATTGTACAGGTTGGAAATTCCCATTGGAGGAAGAAGGAGGGGAAGCAGGAGAACTAACTCTCAGGCACTTCCGGCCTTTAGTTCACATTTATCAAGAACGTAGTATCGGAGATCATCTCCTTTTTGGGTATATCATTTTAGAAAGGTCTGGCAGGCAACAAGTACAGAATCAAAAGTAATATGACAATTCCAAAGATAAAATTTGTGGTTCCAAACCAGGACCCTAGGCCTGAAAGTAGCCAACTGAAAATATTGGCATTTATTCCAACATAGGGGAGAAAAGTTCTCCCTGTGGAGGCAAACCCCCAATGACCTATGCCTCCCGGAAGTGCCTATTTAACTTGGTCATGAATGCAAAACAGTGAATACCGAAAGAGCCCTTTGAAAGAATTCACAGAGGGCATTTGTGAAGACACAGTGCAGGTATGACCATGAAGCAATAGTTGGTTAAATTTTTGCAAAACAGCAAAACTTCAAATATGTTTTAAAAACGGTATTCTTGGGGCGCCTGGGTGGCTCAGTTGTTAAGCGTCTGCCTTCAGCTCAGGTCATGATCCCAGGGTCCTGGGATCGAGCCCCGCATCAGGCTCCCTGCTCTGCAGGAAGCCTGCTTCTCACTCTCCCACTCCTCCTGCTTGTGTTCCCTCTCTCGCTGTCTCTCTGTGTCAAATAAATAAATAAAATCTTAAAAAAAACCCCACAGTATTCTTATCTCAAAAGAACTCTTTGACATGAAATGTGTTATCAGTAATATAGCTGGTAAAGCTGTAAATTCAGAAAATATGAATTTGGATAAGAATTCAGAGTCTGTTAATAGTTCACATGAAAAAGAGAGACTTTTATGAATCCTGAACCTTCTAACAGGCCTAGTGTGGACATCTTGGCAACACTGTCTGTCGGATGTAGTCGGCTCAGACTCCGGGAAATCTTGACTTTCAGGTCACCAGGTGGTGGGCGGGTCCAATCAGGGTTTGGTGCTTTCCTGACTTGTGTCATGTGAATCCAAGATTCTAGGCCTGGGAGTTTGGCTAGCAACAGCTGAGAGGGACCTCTCCCACGAGGCTGAAAAGTCTTTCTGGAATGTCTCTTTTCCAATAGACAAAATCTCCAGGTTGCAGGGTATGGTGTTTGAGGTCTTCATCTCCCAAGAGTGCAAGATGAAAAGATTGCTCCACCAAAGCATGGTTATTCTATTTATTTATTTATTTGTTTGCTTATTTAGAGAAGGTGGGGGGAGGGGCAGAGGGAGAGGGAGAGAGAGAATCTTAAGCAGGCTCCACACCCAGCATGGAGCCTGACCTGGGGCTAAGTATCACAACCCTGAGATCATGACCTGAGTCAAAATCAAGAGTCGGACACTTAACTGACTGAGACACCCAGGCGCCCCAGCATGGTTATTATTTGTTTAATTTAATTTAATTCAATTAATTAACATATAGTGTATTATTAGTTTTAGAGGTAGAGTTCAGTGATTGATCAGTTGCAAAAACACCCAGAGCTCATTACGTCACATGCCCTCCTTAATGCCCATCACCCAGTTACCCCATCCCTCCACCCCCCTCCCCTCCAGCAACCCTCAGTTTGTTTCCTATAGTTAAGAGTCTCTTATGGTTTGTCTCCCTCTCTGATTTCGTCTTATTTTTCCCTCCCTTCCCCTATGATCCTGTTTTCTTTCTTAAATTCCTCATATGAGTGAAATCATATGATAATTGGCTTTCCCTAATTGACTTATTGCACTTAGCATAATACCTTCTAGTTCCATCCATGTCGTTGCAAATGGTAAGATTTCATTTTTTTGATGCCTGAGTAATACTCCATTGTATGTATATATCACATCTTCTTTATCCATTCATTTTGTTGATGGACATCTGGGCTTTCCATAGTTTGGCTATTGTGAACGTTGCTACTATAAACATTGGAGTGCAGGTGCCCCTTTGGATCACTACACTTGTATCTTTGGGTAGATACCTAGTAATGCCATTGCTGGGTCGTAGGATAGCTCTATTTTAAACTTTTTGAGGAACTTCCATACTGTTTTCTAGCGTGGCTGCACCAGCTTCCAGTCCCACCAGCAGTGTAAGAGGGTTCCCCTTTCTCCACATCCTCACCAACATCTGTCATTTCCTGAGTTGTTAATCTTAGCCATTCTGCCTGGTGTGAGGTGATATGTCATTGTGGTTTTGATTTGTATTTCCCTGATGCCGGGTAATGTTGAGAACGTTTTATGTTTCCATTGGCCATTTATATGTCTTCTTTGGAGAAATGTCTGTTCGTGTCTTCTGCCCATTTCTTGACTGGGTTATTTGTTTTTTGAGTGTTGAGTTTGATAAGTTCTTTATAGATTTTGGATACTAGCCCTTCATCTGATAAGACATTTGCAAATATCTTCTCCCATTCTGTCAGTTGTCTTTTGGTTTTGTCAACTGTTTTCTTTGCTGTTCAGAAGCTTTTTATCTTGGGGCACCCGGGTGGCTCAGGTGGTTAAGCGACTGCCTTCGGCTCAGGTCATGATCTCAGGGTCCTGGGATTGAGCCCTGCATCGGGCTCCCTGCTCGGCAGGAAGCCTGCTTCTCCCTTTCCCACTCCCCCTGCTTGTGTTCCCTCTCTCGCTGTCTCTCTCTGTGTCAAGTAAATAAATAAAATCTTTAAAAAAAAAAAAAAAAAAGAAGAAGCAGCTTTTTATCTTGAAGTCCCAATAGTTCATTTTTGCTTTTGTTTCCTTTGCCTTTGGAGACATGTCTAGCAAGAAGTTGCTGCAGCCGAGGTCACAGAGGTTGCTACTTGTGTTCTCCTCTAGGATTTTGATGGATTCATGTCTCACATTTAGGTCTTTCATCCATTTTGAGGTTTTTTCTGTGTATGGTGTAAGAAAATGGTCCAGTTTCATTCTTCTGCCTGTGGCTGTCCAATTTCCCCAACACCATTTGTTGAAGAGACTGTCTTTTTCCACTGGATATTCTTTC